TATGTATCCATCTATGTATCCATCTATCTCTCTCCTCTCTGTCTGTCTGTCTGTCTATCTATCTATCTATTTACCTGCAAGCTTGAAAACGAAGCTATCCTGCGAGACTGCCTCAGTTTTTAAACTTGACAACATCAAAAACGCAGCAATTCAGCGAGACTTCCTCAATGTTTGCACTTGACAACATCAAAAGCGAAGAAATTCTGCGAGACTTCCTCATTTTTTAAAGTTGACAACATAAAAAACGAAGCAATTCTGCGAGACATCCTTCAAAAATGGAAAGTTGAGTGCAGAGCTGACGGCCTCGTACCAATGCGTTTTGCGATTTTTCCACTCCATCTGTCCAAACTACTGCGCCTGCCACGAAAAAGTGATGCCAGGTCATACGAAGTGCTGCACCTGTCACGCAAAATCATCTTAGCAAACCTGAAGATCAGAGGCTCCAAAATGCAACCCCTCTCAGGAAATCAGCGCCCGGACCTCCTGACGGCTCTGATGAACATGTCTCTTGTACTGCTCCTGCCAAGGAAAATGCATCTTTGCAGATCCTCTTCCAATGTCCCACGCCTGCCATCGTTTTTGGAAATGCTACAAAACCCTCACGTTTTGATCACTTTTGACAAGGTCCACAATCCCTTGCGCCTGCCACGCGAACGGCATCTGAACGTCCAAAAGTGCCGCGAACATGTACTGCTTTTAACATTTTGACTTCGACATGTGCTTTGCGCCGCAACGGTGTGCACTTTTTCGACAGAGCAACTTCCAAAAGTGTTCCGAAGCTGAAGTGTGTTGTACATTTTAACTTCGACATGTGCTGCGCGCCACAATGGCGTACACTTTTTAGACAGCTCAACTGCCAAAAGTGGTCCGAACATGGTGTGTTTTGCACATTTTGACTTCGAAATGTGCTGCGCGCCACAACGGCGTGCACTTTTGGACATGTCAACTTCCAAAAGTGGTCCGAACATGGTGTGTTTTGTACATTTTGACTTCGAAATGTGCTTCGCGCCACAACGGCGTGCACTTTTTCGACATCTCAATTTCCAAGAGGGGTCCGGACGGTCCGAGAATGATGTGTTTTGTACATTTTGACTTCGAAATGGGCTTCGCGCCACAACGGCGTGCGATTTTTCATCTCTCATCTGGCCAGCTCGCTCCGCACCCGCCGCTTTAGCAAGCCTACTTTTCGACCCTCCGGAGCCTCAAATCATTGGATAAACACAGTGTTTCGCGACTTTCCCACCTTTTCGCGCACCTGCATCTTCTTTCTTCTGACTCTTTCTCTTCTCTGATCTTCTCTCTGCTGCTCTTCTCTTCTCTTCTTTGACTCTTACCACCTCTGCTTTTCATCTGTCCATGTTGTCGGAAGTTTGACTTCTAAACTTCCTTCGATTTATTTATACATATAATATATATATATATGTAAAAACGAAGAAATTTAAACATCATTATATGTCAGAATGTCTGTGCGACGGTGGGGATCACGCAAAGTACCAACCATCATTGCGGTGGGTCGCTACACTTAAGATATGCATCCCAGTTGCTAAACTTCCAGTGGGTACTAAACACATAAGTTCACCAAGTGAGTTGTATCATATACACATATAGATTGTGTGCGTGCGTGCAATATGCATTCCTAAAAACTAATTACATAATAAATAAATAAATAAATAAATAAGTATATAAATAAACAAATAAATTGAAAACACATGATTAACTAAATAAAAAAAAGTAAATAAGTTTTTTTTAAACACGCAAACGAATAATTAAGTAATACAACATACATAATCGAAAAAAAAAACGAACACATAAAAATATGTACATAATATACACATATTATTCCATATGTACACGGGATATATTCCAGTTGCATTGCACATAGATCATGAATCATTCACGTTGCCTGGGGGATCCTTCCAAGCCACTGTCGCGCACTCCAAATCTGCAACGGCTGCCACAAGGTTGTCACTGCCTGCAGCAAGTTGAGAAGCTCCACAATTTTGGGACCCGAAACGGTGTCATCAAACATGGCTGGGAAGTGTTCCCAAGTAATACACTCTGGTAGTCTAACACAGCTATGCTTTTCCCCACCATGTTTCATAGGCAAATCATTGACACACAATCCATGTTCCATTGCTATGTTAGATTACAAGAAGGCATACGAGTTTGCATAACATGATTCCTCGGACAGGTACACAACTTCTATCCATTTCCAGCACCAAGGATCCCAGCGAGCGACAAGGGGAAGGAATTTATGCCAGACGCAAATCACTGACAAGAAACCAACATATATATATATATACATATATATATACATATATATATACATATATATATGTACATATATCTATATATATATATATGTATAAGCTGTGACATTTACCTTATTTACATGTATATTGTGACCATGAACACATATATATATATATATACACTGTATTGTTGCACATTATATACATATACGTGTTATTATGCAAGACAAAGATTTAGTGAAAAAATATGTGAAATTGTTTTGGTTTCCAACTCGAAAAACAACATCATGAACCGGCATCAACTGACCAATGGCCCAACTCAAGGTGCGAACTCCTCGTTATGTTGAATAGTAAGTCATATATATATATATGATTATATATGTATACATACACAAAAGCGGGCGCTATTGCATTTATCAGATTTACAACACACTGAGTTACACTGTACACATCCGAGTACGAAGTTGTGAGCCGCTAAGTAGGATGCACATGCAAGTATCAAGTAACATGTATATACTTCCGGAACATTCTACCTACACCGAGAGAAGCATTTGGAAAGTTGGGAGTAAATCACCTCTGCACTCAAGGATTGTACGTCTACGTTTGTCAGCTGTATCATTCAAATTCTAAAGGCAGTGTACACTACCAATCTGAAAACAAACCCAACGTCGCGGTGGTTTCCCTTCAATTCAAACCATCTGATTAATTACTTAACATAGCTATGGAAGCCATGGCCCATTTCGTTCGATGATAAAAAAAAATGATGATCAACCTATCTAACATGCCAATTTTTATCATAATTTTCCCAAAGCAAACTGTGAAAAGTCAGCAGATTTTTTTCACCATCCATTGCTGTGTCCACGGCCTCAAGGTGAGATCCATTTCGGTCCTTTCTCCTGGCCAACCTCAGAGTTTGATCATCATTTACCTGTACCATCTGTTTATGACATTGCCAGTTTGCCATGGAAAGATCCACCATGCTATTAGTAGGCAAACCGTCTATTTCTATGGGCCATCTATACCATGGCTATGTTAAATAACCAGAGGGTATATCATACAGCGGTTATGGTGAATTAATATGGTGTATCTTATGTATATACAATTATCTATATCGCAAAAGACGCACCATATACATGTATATACACATTTGCGGCCATATATCATGTACTAATCTGAAGAATGTTAAACAATATATGCAATCTGTTGAACCCACATCAATTACTGTATATATTGAGTTTTGGCAAGCGCATGACACTTCTAGGGCATGGAAAAACAAAAAATAGAGAAGATCTGCTCCAAACATCCGCATCCGATTGGAACTACACACGTGCAACTAGAAATACATGATATATTGTGTGTATAATAAATGTAAAGGTTTCCACAGTCCGTTGACAGAATGCAGAAGCTCTTGGATCTTGAGATGAGACCACCAATGTTTCCATTCCACCCTCCCATGAACAAGGAGATACTGGTAGACTACATGCCCCGTCCCACTCATTCTTTGAAGGCCATGGCATACAGTTGCGGAATGGTGAGGATCATATCCCCGTAAAGTCAGGCTTGGACGGCCACATTCATGGGACAACTTGGAAATCTCGCTAAATAGATTTGATACATCTGTATCTATGGCGAACTGCTGGTCACTTCATGTCCAAATGTTCCCCTTTCCCGGGCTTTCCATGATGATCTCAAGTCACTCCAGTGCGGTTTTGCCACGTCTAGTCTTCCTCGTCGTCCCGGATGGGTTGATTGATCATGTTGCTGGTGACGCTTCCAGACTGAACTAACTGCAGAAAAATCCAATGGAATCAAAAATGCCACGAGCTGAGCACATGATGTAAATGAACACGTATAGATTAGATGCGGTTTTCTGAAAATCGGCTGCTCCCAGATTTGAAGCTTTCTCGTTGTTGATCATGGAGTTGATCACCATGTGTTCTATTGAACGGGCCATAGTCATATATAGTGGTATATAGTGGTGGCTATATCCAATCTGAGACAGATCTTGGGGCCCAGAAAAAAAACAAAAACAACAATAGGACGTGAATAGTGAACTCAAGATCCACCCGGGCGAAAGCAAATAGCTACCATTTCACAATGGTGGTACCCGGGTACTCTGGTTGACACTTTGCATTCACACAGAAGGTAATTTCAAAGGCGATGGATCCTACCTCGAATTGAGCCAACACAAACATTTACAAACAATGGGGATAGATCAGAACCTCTGAAATACATTGAAACACCATAGTTCGGGTGGATCAACGTCAATATACATCACATCCATATAAAATCTCAGCTATTTGGCGTTAGGAAATGTCCATGGGTTTTTATGATCCCCAAATCAGGCAAGGTGCTGGTCTAGATCTACGTTGGCCTTTATCAAGAGCTTGATGATTTCCACATCCTCAGCAGTTCATTTTTTGCACCAACAGCAGTGCACTTGAACTGACAGGGGGGATCTTAAAGATGGGGGAACCCCACATCATCCGAAAAGGCGGATCATTGTTTTCATGAAGAAACCATGGTTTTGGATGGTTTTGGGAAGTAACCCAATTGTTCCAAGAACCCCGTGTCAGAAACAAGAGCGCTTCAGGCCGGGGATTACTCAGTTTTACAGTAATTATATAATATGTAATCACCAAGTTTCAAGTCACAAGGCAGAGCTGGCAGCCAAGGAAGTGAAACATAATTGGGCATGGCTCTAATACTGCAACCGCAAATTTGGTAACACCTTTTTTTTGTACCGGTCTAACGGTCTTTTCTCGCATTGGCGAAAAACACCAAGCGCCAAGCTGCCCCCAGCTCTGCTGCCACGTGGATGGGATACACCAAATCTTTGAAGAGGCAACCTGGTTTCCCCGAAGGCTCTGCCATGGTCAAGCCATTGCTGGTGGTTGAAAAAAAATAAGCCGTGCCAACAAAAATGCAAAAGTCATCTCCTCAACCAATCCCACATATATTGTTTTTTCATAAACCCCCCAACCAGATGGTATATCATGGAGGATTTTACCAACGTTTTTCATATAGTGGGAATATAATGGGGATGGTTCATCACTAATGCTACCAAAAACGGCCAAGAGAATGTCCATTCCCATTCCATTCCCGGAAGAAACTTGGGTTTGAGTGAAAATCACAAATTTGATGGTTTATCATCATGAAATCATCATGACCCCATTTAAACCAATGCATTTGGTGGTGGTAGACACTCCATTTCAAACCTTGCCATGTTTTCGGGTATTTGCCATATATGATCCAATGCCAGGCCAGATGGATCCAAGTGGATCTTTCCAAAGCCACTGACATTGTCGACACTGGTGAGCCGTGTCCACCATAGCCAACAAGCATTTTAAGGTGACCGCCGTGCTTCTGAATTTTCCATCGTTGGGATGGAGGATTTTCCAAGTTGAATGGTGGAATCCACAATCTTCCATTTTCTCGAGCTAGCTCAAAACATGTAGCTGGCTCAATTTCATCAGGGGTATGTTTTGACAGTCACCTTGGGCTTTTTCAGAGGTACTATATCTAGTACTAAAGTAATCAGTGGGGACTGAACCTGGCAATTTAACACATTGGGAAGTTTCTGCGAGCTCGCTCAACTGCAACGAGCTGGCTCAGCACCATCGAGCTCGCTCAAACACATCGCTCTAGCTCAGGGGCATCGAGCTAGCTCAATGGCATCGAGCTGGCTCAATTTTTTCAACGAAAAAAAAAACGCTAAAAAAATTGAGCCAGCTACGTCACGTTGAGCTGGCGGACGAATGTGAGAGCATCAAAACGAATACTAACTATGTATTGGCCGGGTTCATGACGCATTGGCGAGCCGGCTCAAGGGCATGTAGCCGGCTCAATTTCTGCGAGTTTTTTTTTATTTTTTTTATTTTTTTTTCGCTAAAGAAATTGAGCCAGCTACGTGGCGCTGAGCCAGCTACGAGCCGCTGAGCCAGCTACGTGGCATTGAGCCAGCTACGTGGCACTGAGCCAGCTACGTGGCACTGAGCCAGCAAGGTAGCTTTGAGCTTTGAGCTAGCAAGGAGGCAGTGAGCCAGCAAGGTAGCTTTGAGCTTCATCATATATATATATACCTATGCAATCCCAACCATATAATATACTAAATCTAGGGCAAAACATTTTTTTTGAGGGAGACACGTACCTTTGAGCTGGAGCGGGAGTGTGAAATCTACCATTCGACCAAGATGAATACTCTCCATCCACAAAGTACAGGGGCGATGTTAAGCATCTTTACATTCCCCAAGTCATCAGAGAATGGAGTGCTCTAAGGGAAAAAAGTGAACCACACCATTGTTTGAAATTGCCACACAACCCAGCCGCCCATTGATATCCAGGCACCCGTCATCTTGCCTTCGTGCGCATCTGAAAAGCCATGAGTTCTCAGAAAACTCTCCAGCCTCAACTCACACAAATTCATCAGATAAGGTCGTCGCTTCGACTTGACCTGGCGAGGACGGGATCCAAGGAGTTGAAAGAGTGCCGAGATGGTGAAACTTCATCAAGCCATGTTTTGGCAACTGATCGTGTTGCTTGATATTTCTGAAAAATAGTGGCGTGATTGAAACCATCTCACAGTTCAAGAACTTTGTTGATAAGGTCGATAAAACATACCGCAACCTTAAAAGTGTTAGATATATGTTGATAAATAACGCGCTGTATGTAAACCACATATAGATATCATATAGAACAGGGGGTATTCCATATACAACTGGCTTTAAACAATAGTCAATAGTTATTGTTATTTTTCACCTAGCAACCTGGGCTTCACGGCCAGGAGCTGGGAGTTGTGGTTTTCTGCAGCAATGGCCGAACCACTGGACCATTCATATCCAATTCAGTTGATTCTTCCTATGCAAATAATGCATATTTACATACACAAAGAATAGATCCCAAGTATGGTTTGTATCCCCATTGGTTATAAGTTATGTGTATGGTTTAAAAGAACGATATAATCATATCCATATTGACATTGATCAAAAAAACGTGTTGGCACCTTATTTGGCTCCTCCGAAGTCCTTTGACCTTTCACTCTCGTCATCACCTTGCCATGCGCATCGATGTCCAGAGGCACCACAGCTCGACGACGGGCCCGGGAAGCCCGGGAAGCGCGGGAAGCGCGGCACGGTGCCGGCTCCGGAACGAGACCGTGAAAGTCAGAGGGCGGGTCCACCGCCATCGCAGAGCAATCTGCGGCTCTCTCTACGTGGCAGAGAAGAGCTTCAAAAACTGCGGATGAAGAGTCGAAATCAGCTACAGTAAATATCATGCGATTTTTTGGGGGTAGAAAGCATCTTTGGAGAGGTGAGCTGTTATAGGGAAAACATGAGATTCAGATACTTTCTCAGGCTTTGTGTCCCGTCAGCAAAATCCATCAGTGATAGGTTCAAACTCCACTGCCCTCAAAATCAAAAAGTCTATGCAGCAGCACGCCGCACGTCTGTAACAGTTTCCAGCACACAGAAATATATGAAATGACGGGAAGTTGAATTTCTCATCATGTCCTAGAAATCTATCAGGGGTCGCAACAAGAAAAGAAAGTAGACATAGCTAAACCCCAGCTGGTCCCAAGATTAAATGATACAACGATTGTAAAACATTAATGGCATTTCATGGTTAATGTTTACGTTCTATTTTGATTATTTTTGAGCATATCCCAAGATTTTGAGCACTGGGATATCATTCCGGAGAGGAGCTGGCAGATCCGGTGGCAACTGGGGAGTTCCCCTTGGCCATCTTCAATCACCAGCGTGTATATTTTAAAGGGTCTGGGGCAAAGCCGGTGTTCCACAATAGCTGGGGGTTCATTCCTTCAACAAAAATGTGGCATATATGTCCTTTTTGGGTGTTGATTGATCCACAAATGTGTTTTTTAATAGTTAAAATCGGCGATCGTCTGAAAACCATCCCGATTTCTTCTCCGCGATATTCCTGGAAGATCATCCCATTGCTGAGCTGCCATGAAAACGGCCAGCCATTTAGAGACACAGCCCATTTCCTGTTGCCCAATGAGTTCCCGGACTTTCATGGTCAGCCAAAGCTGTGCCACAGCAAATCGGAAGTTGCAATCTGATGGGTGTCAGATTTGATGTCAACTTCATAACTTCACCCTCAAAAACAAGCTGATGTGAACTGGGAACTGGTCACTTTTTTGGGGGCTAGATGTTTTCCCTTCTTTTCCCATGAAATCTGCTCCTGGATGATGATTATATAAATTATATATGATATAATTATGATATTATGTGATTATATGGATTTCGCATGACTAAAGAAACATCTGCGTGTTGTCTCGAGGCCCGAGTTGGCCTCCAAAATGGTGCGCCTCCCCCAGCTTTGGGCCACACCATGGAGGCGGATTCGATGTTCTATCGATCACCCTGGTTCCGCCTGGGAATGCCTAGGCTTGGTGGCTTGGTGGATTTGAACTAAAATCCTCCCAGAATGCAAAATGGGTTTCATATGGTTTCATAGGAACCCTGAAAATGGCCGCTACTTCACAAACAAATTGAAACCACCAACCAAAAAATCCCCAGCACTGCTAAGAGCTGCACATCTCACAATGTCAATAAATGGACACGTCGCAGAGCACAATAGGAAACTGTCTGCCCCAAACTTGTTTTCACGCCCAGCTAGACAAATGTATCTTGCTTTGCCTAGAAGTAGAAGGTTTTCCTGGATTTCCTGTGGTAAACCCAATGATACACCATCCCCAAAATGGTAGGTTTATGAATGGCTTTACCACAGTAGATGTTGAACTCCCAAACCAGGACCAAATTGCCGGACCATCTTTTTTTGCTGCGGCTGTTCACCGCTGAGTTTGGCTTTCCCCTGATGCGCGTACGTTTACACGCAGCAGGGGGCGGTGCGCCCTTGGGTGGCCCGGCTACAACATGAGATCAGCAGCTATGCAGGTTGGTTTGTTGGTTTGTCGGTATTAAGAAACCTCAAGAATCTAAGGATTCGAATGGATTACAATGGATTGGTCTCGTCTAGTCTCAACACATTCAACTGGAGGTGCGCCAAAGTTTGGCTTATAAAGCAGCCGCAGCCACATGGTATAGTCACTGAACTAGAAACAACCTTGGAAAACCTTGGCCATTAGCACTATCCAGTACCATTCACCGACCGGTTGACCTTGCAATCTGAAATTGTGAACATGAAGATTTCCAAATGGCTCATGCTCAAACTGCCGAAACAATTGTAGCCGGGAACCGCGTATGACTGCAATGCCCCGACCATGCCATGAAGTTTTGGAAATCTAACTCACCCTACTAGTATCGAAGGATCAAAATCAAAAGGTGACTTTGAAGGAATTTGGGCAAAACTTTGCGTGAAAACTACAGCAACTACTATATAGACTCTCATAACCATTCTTCACAAAACAACCAACAAACTTTGGGATAGAAGCAACTGGCATGGCGACACAACCAGCAATGGTGGAGCGGAATGTTGGGATATATTCTGCCCTTTCATCACAGTTGAGCGGGTCGAAGCATCACATTTCCGCTTCAATCCTAGCTCAAGTCCTGGTACCTGTTGGGTACATCCATAATTTTACTTGATTACAACCTCCTGTCATAAATCCATCATATTTATCTTAAATCACATGTTGAAGGTATTTGCTAAATGCCGTACAAAACATCATATTTGATGGTGTCAGCCTCAATTTGTTGGAATCTCCTGGTTCTTTGAGATTTTTGATTGCTTCCTATGGCATCGCACGGGTTGCAGCTCTCATTTTTAACAAGCACCACCAAGCAGAGCGCGCGAAAGATGCACGCCTCCATTGGCTGGGTGTATAGAAACCCTGAGTTTTTGCCATAGGGAATTGGGGTCTCGTCTCCTTCAAAGGTTCTCTGGAATTCAATTAAACGTCTACAGTAACCATATGGCATTGGTTACTTTCGTCATTTTACCGGGTTCATGGGTTCTACCCGGCACTATTCATTGTGATGAAACCAGAAGAACTCATGGGTTTTCAGCGCTTGTTGCAAAGAATGGGAAGCAACATGGGTGAACTCCAACAGAAAACGGGCACAACCAAACCGGACAAATGGGGCATCATAGTACCCCCAACAACCATCCCCACAATGAATGGCTCTACACTGGGTTGCTCGCAAACTTTAAAGCGACCACCGTGGTCGACACAATCAGCGTCACAAGGCATCCTGTGTTTCATTGGTTTGGATCCATATCAGGGTTCGTCTGAAAATTCTGATGAAAAAACGCCATTCCATAATTTACCAACAGCGCGCCATCAGGGTTCTTATCAGGTTGGGCTGAAAATGGCGTAATTACCTTCAATATCCGTGGTTGAGAAAATCATGTCCCCATTTAGTTTGGCTATAACGTGGGACTCCACCGCATTGTCAGACAACCCCAAAACTATATACACAATATACACATATCACATGATTGGTTGGTTGTATCCCATTATATTCGGTAACATATCACCGTTATAGCTATGTTATTTTGTGTGGGTCAATGTTTTTTGGCTGGTAAACCTTCATATGGTTGGTTTCCCATTTTCTCCACATTATACCCCCATCATATCCTATTATCTATTACCATCCGACAAAATAACATACACCATGCCATTTATCTGGGGTTGGAAGGTTAGTTCCCACGCACAGTTGGCAATTTCCAGGGTCAAACTGCGAATTTGCCGAAAGGAAACTAATTTTCCAACCTTAACAATGGATATTCAATGTCTGGAAGATTAGTTTCCACTATGTGTGATGGGCTGGTGTTATCACATCCACACTAATTTCCCTATTTCCAATTTTACATCATTGAACACCCAATGAAATCCGTTTGTTCATGGTAAAAACACCATTTTCCTGGTTATTCATCAACAAGAAAAAACAAAATCCGATCCCATCAAACCACCATTATATCCCATTAAATCCAATAGAAGCACATGAAATCTCATTAAGCCATCATTAAATCAGCATGAAATTCCTATATATCCCATTAAACACACCCCATTGACACAGGCCTTGCTTCCGTCCTAGGACAAGTGGCAGGCCTCAGTCTCCGTCTCCCTCCAAGGATCACACCAAATAGTTTCAATGTAGCGAAACCAATCATGTGGTAGAACAAATAATGAATCATCCCCAATGTTTCCATAAATGGTTGGTGAAAAATATCAACGCATGGCATGTTTATGGCTGGCTTTCCTCCCAAGGACCAGCTTAGAATCCTACAGTTATCGAAGGAAGTTTAGAAGGCAAACTTCCAACAATATGGACCGATGAAGCAGCAGAGGTGGGCAGAGTCAGAGAAGAGAAAGAGTCAGAAAAGAAGAAACCAGAGAAGAGAAAGAGTCAGAAGAAAGAAGATCAAGGTAGAAAAGTCGCGAAACACTGAGTTTTCCCAATGTTTTGTGGCTCTGGAGGGTCGAACGGTAGGCTTGCTAATGCGGCGGGTGCGGAGCCACCTGGCGGGATGAGAGATCAAAGATTGCACGCCGTTGTGGCGTGAAGCACATTTCGAAGCCGAAAGTGTTAAAAATGACTTTACTTCGAGTCATCCCCACCATGACATTTATCGAATTGTTACTGGCAAATCTTCTGGCATTCTATCTGACATATCTTCTGGCATTCGATCTGGCATTCTATCTGGCATATCTATCTGGCATTTTACCTGGCATATCTTCTGGCATATGTTCTTGCATATCTTCTGGCATTCTATCTGGCATTCTATCTGGCATATCTTCTGGCATATCTTTCGATATCCTATCTGGCATTCTATCTGGCAAATCTTCTGGCATTCTATCTGGCAAACATTCGGGCACTTTATCTGGCATACCTTCTGGCACTTTATCTGGCATATCTGCTGGCACTCTATCTGACATTCTATCTGGCATACCTTCTGGCATTCTATCTGGCATATCTCATGGCATTTTATCTGGCATATCTTCTGGCATTCTCTTTGTCCCATATCTTCCTACATGAGGTCCGGCAGGGAACACTTGGCATGGATACTCGCAGATGAGGTCCGGCAGGGAACACTGGGCGTGGCTGGTCGTGGTTGAGGTCCGGCAGGGAACACTGGGCGTGGCTGGTCGTGGTTGAGGTCCGGCAGGGAACACTGGGCGTGGATGGTCGTGGTGAGGTCCGGCAGAGAACACTGTGGATCGCGGGTCGCAGTTGGACGAGGACGACGAGGACGACGAGG